TTTTTTTTATCTTCAAACGAAAAACAAACCGAAAACCGTTCATTATTGGTTTATATTATATAGGAACAATAAAAAGGTAAGCAAGCCGGTAATATAACCAGTCTGGATAGCCAGAAAAAAAAACATTATTGTAATCCCATTGATGATGATGTTTGAAGAAAGACGAAAATCGTGACATTTTGCATTTGAATACGGTGATTCCATTTGAATTTTTGCAAAAAAGAAGAATATGGTGAAACAAACTAAATGACGACAAATTTGTTCTGCCAATCAATCTAAAAAACATCCATACGAACGAAAAGAAAGGAAAGAAAACAACCATTGTCCACAAATTGATCGATTGAACCGAAATTCATTCGAAGATTGATCATGTCACATACAACAATCGATGATGATGATGAGCATAATTCTACATAGAAAACACACATACATCTGCTCTTATTGTCAAGCAAATTTAGCCAAAAGCAATATGAAAAAATAGCATCTATTTTTTTTTTTGAGCGAAATTGAGTGAATCGGATCGTTCCGATCTACGAATAGTGTATGGAAGGTATAGAACATCATCATCAGAAAAGATTATGTAATTCAAACTCCCGAACTACACTACCACCACCACGACCAATCATATGACTAATATTATGATTGATGTGAGGTGAGGTGAGGTGAAATGACGTCGAGGTCGACGAGATTGACCCCTCTCTCTCTCTCTCTCTCTCTCTCTCTCTCTCTATTCATCTTAATCACACCAGAAAGAAATGGAGAAAAAAAAATATTTTAAAATCGATCATTTTTTTCCATGAATGAATGGCAATCTGACATGTTTAATATTTCAAAAAAAAAATGATGATTCAAAAGATTCAAAAATGATGAACATCATTCGAAAAATGTGTGACAAGTGGTGTGTGTGTGTGTGTGTGGTAAATGTTCGTGGTGGACAAGATAGATACTGAACGCCTACGTTCGTTTGGATGTTAAATGTTAAGAAAAACTAGCCAGCCAGCCAGCCAAAGATCTAATTAAAATATAATTTTTTTGAAAAAAGTCAAGTCAAGTCAATCAAATCATTTTTGCTAATCTAAATCAGGAAGAAGAAGAAAAAAGATTGTGGCATCTGAGACATATAAACAGTGAGTGACAGACATAAATATCAAGTGAAGTAAATGTCAATAATCAATCCAAAAAACAAACACAAATATAAAGGAGTGGAATCAAGAAAATTAAAGAAAGATAAAAAAATCGATTCCCGTTTATAGAATGGTCATTATGAGATCAGATAATGATGAAACTTTGTTTCATTTTCAATGAAAGAAGGAAAGAATTTCGTGACCATTTAGAAAAACACTGACAATGTTGATATGAATTGAATTTGACCGGAATCAATGGAAAAAAATTATTATTGTTCAAAAGTCAATTTGAAAAGACAATTTAACAATGTGCTTTCGAATCAAATAAATTCGTGCAATTTTGTGTGTGTGGTTTTTTTTCACTGGATTCTCAAACAATTTTATCATTCAAAAAAACACTATGTATGGCATCCTACGACTTTTTTCTTTTCTTTTCTTCTTCTTCTTTTGATTACCATTATAATCATTGATGGCCGGTTTTCAAGATGGATGCGGTGGTGGTGATGGTGGTCATCATTCATTCATGGATGATTATTGTATGTGGAAATGGCAAAAAAACAGAAGCATCTGGTCTGGTCAAAAATATGCATTACCAAATTATACCCAAAAGTTTGTTACCTGAGTGTTTGTTACCTGTGTGTGTCTGTGTGTGAATGTTTAACACTGATGATGACCATAACGCCAGAAAAAAAGGATTTTTTTTAAGGGAAAAAGAATTTTTTGTCTCGAAAGAGTTGTCATAGTAGCTTATCATCATCATCATCATCATTATTTTTTGTTTCAGTTTTTTTTTTAAATTAACCGACCAGGTCAGAAAACAGACAGACAGACAGACAGACAAAAAATCTCAATGTTATCATCATCATCATCATCGTTGGGTAAATGAATGGCAAACCGGAGGCAACAACGAAACAAAGTAACGAAAAAGAAAGAAGAATCCGACAAAGATGTCGATCCCAATTGAAGGCCAAAGTTAGCCAAGAGAGCAAAAAAAAACTAATTAGCAGATAAATTCATCAGGTAAGAAGCAAAAAAAAAAAAGATTCCAATTAATTATTCGATTCGAAACTTTCGAATCGAATCGGCTTTTTTGCTTTTGAACTTGATTTTTTTTTTTTGGATTTTTGTCTCCAAACACAAATCAGGAAAAACTCTTGATAGATATCTTATCCACCATCCTAACCATTCATAAATGATGTAACTATGAATAATTTGACCATTTTTTTAAAATGTAATGAATATGGGAACCAAGAGAGAGAGAAAGAAATGTTTATTTGTCGAAACAAACAAACAATGAAAAAGCAATGATGATGATGATAATGATGGTAACGGGTAATGTTATAACCGTAATGGTTACGATGTCCAAACAACAACGGCATGCGCCGATAATAATAACATATTTTGACAAACCAGAATATGCAATATGCAATCCGGATATATTTTAGTCTTGTTTTTTGATGATGATGATGATGATGAGAAATTTGGCAAAAAATTCTCATGCAAAAAAAAACTGTTTGACTAAAAGAAGTGAAAATAATAATATTGTTCACTTGATGAACCAATTTTAATGCACAGAAAAAAATCAAAACAACGGAAAAAAATCCGATTTTTTCATCATCATCATCATCATCAATGGATACTTTATATACTTTAAGGTGTTTTTGACCAATAATCACAAGAAAATAGAAGGATATTATCATCATCATCATCATCATCAAAAAATCAAAAAATCAAAAATCACAAAACGATGATAATAATAATAATGAGCGTATTTAGTCAGTTTAGTATTTTGATATTACAACTGACTAATAATAATAATAATAATCGGATCACACTTTTAATATATGATGGATTATGGATGATTATCAAACAGACAACAGAAAGCAAAGATCATTTGGAATTGATTAAGTGAGTGTTTGATTCAGGTAAAAATGAAAAAGAAAATTTTTTAATGGGATAATTTTATGGGTAAAATGAAAATTATGAAAAGAATGGCAACAAGAACAAAAAGTGTGAGAAAAAGGTAAGGCCAACTATTAAAATACAAAAAAAAAACTGGTCGATAGAATGATGGATGTGCATTTCAATTTGGCCACTATGGAACCGGCTTATAATGGTGGTGGTGGTGGTCAACGATAACTTCTTCTTCTTCTTTATGTCCATTTCGTTCATCGATGTTTCTTTCTTTCTTTCTTCTGTAGATATTTGAAGATTTGGACACCTTTCGTTTACCTTTTTCATTTTTCCCCGTTCACACTCTTTCACTCCATTCTTTTTCAATTCAACCATTCATCCATTAGCCATTAGCTGTCGAATTGGTCGAAATAATAATTATTGATCATCATCATCATCATCATGGTTTGATTTAAGAAAAGAATCAATGTTTTTTTTTCTATTTCTACTGAGTAAGTGAATGAAAAGAAAAAGAAGAAGTGATCGTCAGACAACCAATGATGTTATATGATTTTTTTTCTGACCTTGGCTATTTCCACATCATCATCATTTGTGGCCACTGAACCATTATCCATCGAGAAGAAAAGAAATCGAAAAAAAAATTGTATAACTTAAATAACTGGATCATATTGTTGTTGATGCAAATCATTATTATTATTATTATTATAATTTACAGGTGTGTAAAGGTGAGTTTCTACACACACACACACACACAACGAAAACAAAAATCTTTGATCCATAAGTTACACACGCATACATACATCCACGTGGCTAGCTAGACAAACTGACATTCATTTTGACTTGTTTGTTTGACTTGTGTATTACCACATTAGTGCATCACAAATTTACATTAAACAAACAATTAAAACATTGAATGAATAAGATTTGAAGATTTAAAGATAAAGATTCTTCAATCAATCAAAATTGATGGTACTTCAAGAAAGAAAATTCAAGAAGATAATTGAAGTAGATCAATGATCATCGAATGATTGTAGACAGAAAGACATTCCATTTCAATCTATGGCTACTTGTCTTTATTTGATTTAAATTCAAGAAACATCTCCATTGAAAACATTGAATTAGAAGAAAAAAACCACCATGATGACCATCACTTGATTTTCACTTGACTTGACTTTTGATTTTTGATCAAAACCAAAAAGTCAGAAAAATCAGAAAAAGTCAGAAAAGCAATGAATAATAATAGAATTTGTTTGTTTTCTATTCAATATGTGATTTATCTGTGTCAATATAGTCAGTCAGTCATACATTAGATTAGGATTTGAAAATTTGAAAGTATTTTTTTTTCTCAATGAAAACAAAAAAACGGTAATCAAACAAACAAAATTGCCAATATGGTTTTTTTCTCACAAACACACAGCATACAGAAGGATTTTTTTGTTTTTGATTGGATTGTTCGGCATTGATCCAACAAATCCTGATGATGATTCTTCATCAGGAGAAGGATCATAAAGATAAAAATAACCCTAACAACAACAACAACACACAGGGCTTTATTGTATTTGGTAGGCCAAGCATCACCATCATCACCGCATGATGAAAAGTGAAACATTTTCTTTTTTATATTCAAATGATGAATATACAAAAAGAGAGAGATTTTTGAGTTTGAAATAAACTCAGAAGAAAATCCAAAAAAAACAAAAATCCATGAATGACAAAAACGAAAACTTTCTTTTACAAAACGGATCTATTTTTGAACAATATTTCCATTCATTAATACAATCGAATTGACAATCAACAATCAACAACAATGTTGACAATTGTCAGTCGGAAAGTTGGCCAATGAAAAAACATGAAATGAAAAGTATGTAATGAAACGGACATTCACCGGATGAAAATGATGCAAAAAGAAAGAAAGTCAATGGGAGGGAAACAAAATGAATGAATGTAAAAATCTTTTCTTACATTGGATTTGTTGAATTCCAATAAATATCTGGTAATCTAGCTGACATTACATCAACTATTAATGTAATAAGTGATGTATAGAATAAAAGTGATGAAAAAGTTAATGTTGTTGTTGTTGTTGGTGACAGATATTTACTCATTTTGGATGATTTTTTTGTTGATGCTGTTGCTGTTGATGATGAGGATGAGGATTGATTTGATAATTATCAGAATTGGATGAACACTTGAAGCAAACACTGAAAAACACCATAAAGAATAATGAATCACTGGGATTCTCTCTCTCTCGTCAAAACGCACACACAGAACTATAGAGAGAGAAAAAGAATCTAAACACAAAAACACCTACAGGTCATTTTAACATCACCATAATCAACACCATTATTCACGATTAACAAACACGTAGTTATCCTCGTCGTCGTCGTTGTTATATGGCACACACAATATCAAGATACATTGTGTATCCATGAAAAAATGATTGAATAAAGTTCATGGTTATGTTGATTAAATGAAATTGTCACAAGGAAGTCGCATGATAATGATTTGTTGTTGTTGTTGTTGCTCTCAGGTAAATATCACCCGATTTTTAAAGGTGATTATTATACATTGAAAATCATTAATGTTTGAACAATTTGATGATTCAGTTGAATAATAATAATAACCGGAAGAAATTCCCGAAAAAAAAATCAGAAATTTTTTCACAATTTTTTCAGTTTTTGGTCGCTTTGATGATTTCAGGAAAACAATCAATGAAGAAAAAAAAAATTTGCGCCAATTCAAATATCTTTTATGTAACGACCACTACGACGATCAAATGCTGAATGATGATTGATAAAAAAAAAAAAGTTGTTTTCCTTTTTCTTTTGGAACGTTATCCATTGTTTGTAGACGCGACATAAATGTGTGGATCCTATAACTTAAATCAATACTACTACCACTGTTTACTAACAGTCGAATCATGATGCAAAAAAAGAGAAACATAGAAGCATGAATCAAAAGGCGATAGGTCACGAAGAAAACTCTCGGATTCTTTATCTTCGGTTTTCTTCGGTAGTAGTAGTGGTACATTCGAACAAATGAAAGAAAAGATTCATTTCGTTTAATGTTGCCGATGAAAAAATTCATTTTTTTTTCGATACGGATGTCGGTTTTTTTACTTTGTTGTTGTTGTTGTTTTTTATCATGAAAAAAAAGAAAAAACAAAAAACAGGTTCCGGATAGAACCACTAGCCAGATTTGTTTCCATCTTCATTCCTTCTAATCATCATCAACAAATATTCATGGTGTTTTTTTCTGGTCAATCCATTTTGGTCAAGGACGGAAACAATCGGACATCGAAGAAATTCCGGCAAAACTGGAAGCCAATCAAATGATATGACCATCAGATATGATCCTTTTCTTGAATTTCTCTCTATTTTTCACAATCGATTCGAAACAGAAAAGATTTTTGTTTTTTGTCATCATTCTCATCATCATCATTATTATTATCTGATCTGAATTATTATTATTCATCATCAATCGATCTATTTCTGAATAATGGAAATGTTTTTCTCTTTTACTTGCTTGTATGCTCGTTCCCCCCTCTATCACGATCTTGATGATGATCGTTTCCCATGGACAATGGCCATCTATCAAAATGTAAATATATATTGTTGAATTGAATATTACCATTCATTCACACGACATTAATTACATTTTCTTTCCTTTCATTTCATTATTATTATTATTATTCGATAGATTGATTGGGCCAACGATCAAACATCATTGATGACATGTATCGTGATCTAATAACAACAACAACGACGACTGCGATGATGATGATATTCATTGTGTTGTTCTTCTGTGTCAATAACCAAACATTCATTCATTCGTTTTTGGCTTTGTTTTCCAAAAGAGTGATTCAAATTGAACAATTTCGTTTTTTTTCTTGATGATTACGACAATGAAAAAGAAGAAAATCAATTAAACAATCAAGCCTATGGGCAAAATTATCAATTATTAATTTTTTTGAAGTTCATCCCCGAAGATTGCCAAAAAAAAATCGAATCAAATCAAATTGCCTACACACTTTTCCAATGTATAATATCGATTGGTGGCTATCGATAATATCGATTGTTTCAATGTCATAATCGTCCATCCAAATTCGATATTATCGATTCGAATTCGAAGAAATCCTTAAAAGAACATCACCATCGTAAAACAAGAGATATGATGATGATAATAGCAACAGCAAGAAGATATTGTGTTTTTCCATAACAAATCAAAAATTATTTTTTCGATAATCTCACGATCCATACACTGAGATAGTGTGATGGGAGATTTCAAGATATTATATCATATTATGAATAATAATTGTGAACCTGGATTGATTGGAAACAAAAACGATTGGAACAGAAACAACAACAACAACATTAATTAGTGAACGAAAAAAAAGAAAATCTCTTATCATTAATGAGATTGGTTGATTGGAGATCGAATGTTTAGAAGTTTCAACATTATTTCGAATCGGCTGCTGATTTTTATCGAATACCATACAACATATATTACGATATTTAAGTAAGTTTTTTTTCATTTGTTTGATTGATTGATGTGGCCCATGTTGATTTTTCTTTTTTCGTCGTCATCATCATGATCAAATGAAAAAAATAGGTCATTTTTTTTGACCGAAAGAGAAAGAAAAAAGTGAAAAGATTCCGCTTTGGGCTGTTTCTTCGTTTGTTTGGCTCCATTCATCCAAATCGAAGAGTTTCCTTTTTTTTTTCTTTCTTTTAATCTATCGCTTCCACACACACACGATTTTCAACAACAACAACAACAGCACTGCATCCTTAATCAAGTTATGTTGATGAACATAATTAGTAAAACTAATAACTGAATGAAATTGTGGATCCAAAAAAAAAAAAAAAATCAGTCCATAATTTCATTTTCTAGGTTAGGTTGATTCATAGTTGAGTGAGGTTAGGTTGATGACTATGACTGTGATTCATAGTTGAGTGAGGTTAGGTTGATGA